AAAAAGATTTTTTAATTATGACGTAAACTAATCACACTAAACCTATAAACCTGAATTTAAATTACAAGTAGACTGAGTTTACTTGTATTACTCAATATGGGATGCAGACTGAGATAACGTGCGGTACATTGAAATTTGAAAAACAGTATCAAATTGTAAAGTGGTAGGTAATAGTCAAGCATTGACCTTAGCAAATGGTTGTATAAATAGTCAGCACAAACAGGGTGAGTAGATGAAAACATTAAAAAGATGAAGGAACAAGTTTTAAGGTTTGTGTTCTTACTGATCTATGTGGGTGGAGTGATTGCAACTCCTCCAGAAGATCCGATCCGGTGTGCTTCAAAAAACACAAACTGCACCATCACCAACACCTATGGCATCTTCCCCGACCGGACCACTTGCCGCGCCGCCGAGGTTGTCTACCCCACCTCGGAGGAGGAGCTGGTATCCGCGGTGGCCTCAGCTTCCAAAAACAAAAGAAAAGTGAAAGCCGCAACGCGCTTTTCCCACAGCATAACCAAGCTGGCTTGTCCTGATGGCGAAAACGGGTTGCTGATAAGCACTAAGAATCTGAACAAGATACTGAACGTCGACCCGAAGGGAAGGACAATGACAGTGCAGAGTGGCGTGTCGTTGAGACAGATCATCACGGCGGCCGGAGAGAATGGTTTGGCCTTGCCTTATGCGCCGTACTGGTGGGGTTTAACCATTGGTGGAATGATGGGAACAGGTGCTCATGGAAGCACGTTGTGGGGCAAAGGAAGCGCCGTTCATGAGTATGTGGTAGAGTTGAGAATCGTTACTCCTGCTGGACAGGAAGATGGCTATGCTAAGGTTCGAACCCTCAACCAATCTCACCCTTCTCTCGATGCAGCCAGAGTTTCCCTCGGGGTTCTTGGAGTTCTTTCTCAGGTATACATATGTCAGTCTTTCATAAGGTTATAATACTAATCAAAATAATTCATTAATTTTATATATTTAAAGATAGAAGAATAATAATTATTCGAACACACCTAAATTTTTTACATTCATTTCATAATATCCTTACTTATTTTTTAATATTTTCTTTCTTAAAAAAATATAAAACTTTACACTTTTATGACCATTTTACTCTTGTATCATGTGTCAAATGAATGTAAAAGTGTGTTATGGTATCATTTCTCAATATCAAATAATTCATTTATCAAAAATATAAAAATAAAGTTAATTTAAAGTATATAAGTGGATACAAACATCGTCTATAAGCTGATTTTTGGGATTAAATTAGGCTTAAATTTTATTAAAACAGAAAAAAAAAAAACAACTAATTCTAGTCTTATTTGCTACGAGAGGAACTGATCTTCGATGAGTGATTTATAATGTCAAAAAATCTATTTTAATTTTATTTACTTTTTTTTATGGAAAACATCTCTTTCAATTTACACTGACTCGGGTTCTTGTCATTTTAAAATGGCAACAAGATTGATGTGTAATTTTAATTTGAATTAGTCAATAATTTTGGCAAAATTTCAAATCTTAAAAGATCCATTTTATGATCATTTTATCCTTGTATCATGTGTCAAATGAATGTAAAAGTGTGTTATGGTACCATTTTTCAATATCAAATAATTCATTTATCCAAAATATATATAAAAGTTGTTTTTGTGTTGAAAGTCTCACATTGATTAAAATAAAGTTAATTTAAAGTATATAACCGGATACATATTCTATAAGTTGATTTTGTGGGATTAAATTAGACTTAAATTTTACGAAAAAAAAAAATAATTCTTGTATTGAGAAATTGATCTTCTATGATTGATTTATAATGTCAAAAAATCTATTTTAATTTTATTTAATTTTTTTATGGAAAACATCTCTTTCAATTTACATTAACTGTGGTTCTTGTCATTTTAAAATGGCAACAAGATTGATGTGTAATTTTAATTTGAATTAGTCAATAATTTCGGCAAAATTTCAAATCTTAAAAGATCCAACTAGTATAATTTTTAATAACCAATTGTATGCCAAGTCAAATCTTTCTAATGAAATAAACCTCCAAATTATGCACCAATACTTTTTCACCTCTATAAATGTCATAAAGCCTTTCTTATCTTGAATCAATGCAGCTAAGATAAAACCAAGAATTTCACCCTCCTCCTTCAAAACATGATAATTACTTACATTTTACTGTATATTCTCTTTCATCTCAGTCTAATGTACAGATATTTTTCTTAATATATACCACTGAATACTTCGCTTAAGAACATCCTATTGAATTAAAAAAAATAACTTAAAAATCTAATGATTGAAAAATATAACTAAATCAAATTTTACTTTTTTCAAATATATATGAATGGTATAACTATGCTTCCACAATCACCAGTTTGATTTACAGTTTTATGTGTACAGGTTACCCTAAAATTGGAGCCTCTCTTCAAGCGATCCATTACATATATCACCAAAGATGATTCAGATTTAGGAGATGAACTGGTTACTTTTGGAAGAAAACATGAGTTTGGTGATGTAATATGGTACCCAAGTCAGAAAAAGGCTGTCTATAGAATTGATGACCGTGTATCTGTTAATGCATCTGGAAATGGCTTATACAATTTCTTTCCATTTCGTTCCACAGCCTCAGCAGCATTAGCTGTTGTCAGATCAACAGGTTCCAGATAGATATATCTGTTCATAATTTTTCTATTCTTCCATGATCTATATCAGTGCATGCATTTTATATTTCTTTCATCTGGAACGTACTTTTGGAAAGATCAATCCAAACACAGTTATATATTATTTAACTTCAAGTGTGTTCTTCTTTAATCAAGTGCATGCATGTTTGAATATGAGTGTACAAGAATAAAAAAATAAAGAAAAGGACAATCATTAATAGATATCGTTATTTAACTTCAATAGTCTTCTTCTTTAACAAATCCGATCACTTGTTTTTCGAGATTGGCAAATTTTCTGCTTATAATAGTTGTTTCTTCACATGTTCATTTAACAGAGGAATTTCAAGAAGCAACACGCGATGATAATGGGAAGTGTGTCGGTGCGAAGTTGATAACTGCACTACTGTCAGGCATTGCTTATGGGTTGACTAACAACGGTACTGATCTGAGTAAAATAAAAAAACTTTCAGATTGAAATAAAAGAATATAAATATATTTAAACATGTGATTATGATGATGCAGGCATCTTTCTTGGATATCCTGTCGTTGGATTTAGCAACAGGATGCAATCATCAGGAACATGTTTAGATAGTTTGAACGATGGATTGATTACGGCATGTCCATGGGATTCAAGAATAAAAGGGGAGTTCTTTCACCAAACTGCGTTTAGCATTTCCCTGTCTGTAGTAAAAAACTTCGTGGAAGATGTGCAAAAACTTGTTGAGTTGGAGCCAAAGTCACTGTGTGGGTTAGAAATAGCGAATGGAATCCTTATGCGCTATGTTACAGTTTCCAGCGCTTACCTTGGAAAATCAGAAGACGCTGTGGATTTTGACATCACCTACTATCGCAGTAAAGATCCATTGGCTCCTAGGCTTTTCCAAGATATACTTGAAGAAATAGAACAGATTGGATTGTTCAAATACGGAGGATTACCCCACTGGGGCAAAAATAGAAACTTAGCGTTTCTTGGAATAATCAAAAAGTATAATAATGCAGAGAAATTTTTGAAGGTTAAAGAAGAGTATGACCCAGATGGGATCTTCTCGAGCGAGTGGACAGATCAAATGCTTGGACTTAGAGAAGGAGTGACAGTATTTAAGGATGGGTGTGCAATGGAAGGGATGTGCATTTGCTCAGAAGATAGACACTGTGCACCAAAGAAGGATTACTTATGCAGACCAGGGAAAATTTATAAGGAAGCTAGGGTTTGCACTCGTGTTTCTAAGAAAACCAAAAAAGCTGAAGATTTTAAGGACGAGTTATAAAGCACTGTAGTTTTGCTTCAGCAGTTATCAGTTCCCATGAACAATCTTATTACTTCCTCCATCTCAATAAAACTCATGTCTGTCATTTAATTTGTTAGCAGTTATTGTTTATTCCGATTACACTATAATGTTATCACAGTCCGCAGATCAATGAATTGATGACTCAATCTACACAGGTTCTTTTATGCAAACTATACACATGTCTTTGTGTTTGATCTACCGTAAATGAAAGTATTTTCAACCAACCTTAATTTTGATTGTTTCAACCGAGTAAAATGGAGAAATTTGATAAACACTAGCACAAAAATACGTCAATAATTACGATGTTAAAAACAACTTTAGTTCATTTTAACATAAAAAAAAAAGTCCTTGTCAATATCGGCTAGAAAAATCATGCAATCTTTGATGAAAAGAAAATAATGTCAACCAAGATTATTTAAGTAGTTACAAAGTAAAAAAAATTAATTATTAAACATATTTAATATTAAAATAAATATTATATTTGATAGTAATTGAAATACTTCATAAAGTCTACAAGATTAAAATTCAATAAAAATAAAAAGAGACATTGGAAATTTAGTGCACTTAAATTTTCATAAAAGTAATGAAATTTATGATTCATACACGTGGACAGGATTCAATCTCATGCAAAGAAAATCACTCATTCCTTGATGGCCCGAGTGGCGGATTGGGTTGTCGTTATTTCAGAAGGGTTAAAATTTCATTGGATTTTGTAACGATGATGTATAGGAACAGATACCAAGGATTTTAAAATTACATTCCAACCTAATCATTTCTATTCGTGGGATAATCCCCTTACATAACTAAATCTGCCCACCCCAAAACACTTACATCAACATCAACAAAAGAGTCATTAAACATCCAAAACCAAAACCATTTACTTCTGAAATAAAAATCACACTATATAATTAAACATAATAGTAACTAAACTTCATGAATTTATCATTTAATAAAATCACGTTGGTATTTGAATATATACATATGGAAGAACTCTTGTTTTCTAGTCTCCTTCTAGAACCTGAGTGTGTATGTTCTTTAATGTATTTTTTATCAAAAGAAGATATAAAGTCGCAAACTAATGTCAGCGTTCTATGAGAAAGTAAGAAGGGAAGGTGCCTCCCGTTTCCATTACCTTCCCTAGGGCGAAAGGTTTGCGAACGGAAAATACAGAGAACAAACTTATTTACACTGATCTTTTTTAAAACCATTATCAAGAGAATCAACATATATTGCGTTACCTGAGAGACTGAGACTAAGTACTACATCAATATATCAGCCTCTGCTTTATGTATACAAGGATGAAATATTAAATTTATAGCTATATAAGGAAAAATATTGAGTCATCTCAGCCTCTGATGCATCCGAAAGCTGCAGTTCTTACGCACACCCTTCGCTGGAACATCACTGCAAATTAAAATAATTATAAATTCAATAATCTTACATAGATGATCCGTAGTTAAAACTCGTACCCTGTATTGTAATTAAATTCTAGAGACTAAGAATACTCACCGCGAAAATCTGGCATAAGGAAGTTCATTCCTCATCACTATCATACACAACTGCCATCCGTCGATGGGTGGTTGTTTTCCTTGGAGGAGACTCCTCATCTGATTCAAATCCCTTCCTCTTGCCACTGCCTCTAAACTCCTTACTCTTTTGCTTTGGTTCCTGCAAGAAAACATCCAACTAGTTTTAAAACCACGGCATAGCAATCGAATATCCTTATTTCCACCTATATTAATGAGTCATGAAATAAAAGTACAACAATGAAGGAACACGAAAACAAAAAATATGGGAATAAGGATAATCAAAACGTTGTTGAAACATGTTAGGTGTTTTTGAAAATGTCGTGGGATTTCATCCACAGTTGTGACAACTAACAATGGGAGACAAGTCCATAAGGATATAATATCTGACAAACAATGCTTCATCATCTTATGAACTTTCACCCTACCCACAAGATGTACAAGCACACAGAGGACACACGTACAGCAGTCTTATAAACAAAAATATAAATATCTTCACAGTACAAACCAGTGCATAGAATGGAAACATTATAAACGAGGAAGATTTAAAAACAACTAAACTGCGTGAACAAATCACCTGTAATATACCTTCTTATCAACAGTTAAGGAGGGCTGATAAGAACCAATCTAAAACTAAATATCTACGGACCTACAGCCAAAACTTTAAATATGTATTATTTTTAATAAAATAGGCAGTACCTCCTCTTCCTCCTCATCTGAGGCATCATTAACTTGTTCTGCCTCTTCATAGTGATCTTCCTCTTCTTCATCGTCCTCATACTCTGGTTCAGTATCCTCATCCCTCTTGCGTGGAGGTGGCCTCTCATTTTCCTCTTCCTCGGTTTCATACTCAGACTCTTCTCTCTCATCATCCTGGTAACCCACTGGATTTCGAGAGGATTTAGCAGGTGGGAAAGAAGACTTGCGAGGGATGTCTCTAGGTCCCTGTGACTAAATTCCAGAAAAATAAAAAACCCTCATCAATGACAAATGCCAAAACAATCAATATACAAACAAATTTCCGGAGACTGAGAAACAATACCTTTTTAGCATTCATAATTCGTTTCTCTGCTCGGGCTTCCACTTCCAAATCATCCTCAAAGCGGCGCTGAGTACGACGAGAATCATAGTAATCTGCTTCATCCTCCTGAAGGAAAGAACGACGGTTAAATAATGGAACTGTCATAGTTTTATGTACCTAGATATGCTAAAAGAAAATTGCAGGAGATACGTGACCAAAACAAAAACAGACTTTTATACCTCATCCAATGCATCCTCTAAAAACCCAGGAGAAAGTTGCCGCCTCCTATCCACAGCAGGAGTATACTTCCGGCTCACCTTCTCACGCTTTCGGTTAAGAAGCACATTAGCCCAAATATTTTGACTTTCAGCCTACAAAAGATATAGAGAAATTAGATGATGGTACCCAAGAGACACTTAGCACGTAATTATTGAATTATTAATTATACCTTCTCTTTTTCCTCTTTTTCCCTCTCAGGATCAATGTCAGTAATGCAGTTTTTAACCTTGTAAACCTTCTTATGCCTTGAGTCAACAAGGGCAGTCAACAGCCGATGAGAATTTGAAGACAAGGAAGATGGCATAAACCTCATTTTCCTCAATAACCTTCCTTGTGATTGAAGGATTCCCTGAAGCATGTAAACACAGACAATTAGGGGAAAATGGTAAATCATCAAGACATTCAAAGGAATAACAAAATTCACCTTTCCGTGTCTAAGGAAAAGATGAGCTTGATCATGCTGTGCATCTTGCACTGATATGTCAAGAACTTCATTCCCAATTAAAAGCTGCAGGCTGCCATCGGACCATCTCACAAAGCGGGCATTGCTTTCATACTACAGTAATAGAAAATCCATGATACATTTCTTGCAAACAATTATATACTGCAACCTGATCATGAATGACAAATCATCATAACACTAACCCACCTGGTTTTCTACAAAGTTAAAGGGTAAACATAATAGAACATGGAGCATTTTATTCCTATTTAGTACTACTGACTTTATTGAAGTACTTCCTCGTCCTCATGATCAGCTTCAAATTTGATACTCCATATCCTTAAAATATCATAAACTTCCTTAACAGACTATCAATCTATACAGTTCAAAAAAATCATGTCCATTCATGCACATCAAAACTAAATCAGATTCTGTCAACCAAAGGGCAGATTTTGTCGACAGAAGGCATCGTAGACTCCAGAACATTAAAAGAATACATTTTGCCATTCTATCCTGAATCCATCCCAATATTAACCTCAAAATTCAAAAACATATATTTTATGATATAATTAGGCTAGTAAAAGGTAGTAGAAACAAATACAAATGATGTAAAAGCAGTTAAGTTACAAACAAGAACGTCATAATCGTCCTTATCCCATTTAAATTTGACAGAAATTATAATCGATAGCATGCATAAGAAACGGTATACAATTACTTACAGATGCTGTGCCATCAGGATTTCTAGCAGTCCTCCAACGCACAATATTATTCTCCAACCGTATGCGCTTTCTGGCTCCAGATTCATCAGTTACAAAAGTATCCTCTTCCACATATGTTTTAGGATCAAATGGTTTTGGGTCAACACCCATAATATTGGAAACTTTAATCATGTTCATCTGCCGAGAGAGAGAGAGAGAGAGAGAGAGATTAAAATACAAGTGTCTGAATAATGAAACTCAACTTGTCTTACCAGGATGCACATCATTATAAAAGGCAATGCATGTGCATCTATACATAAAACCTGGGACATATTAGGTATTAAAACGTATTCATCATGACCTTGTTATCATATAACCTGATTTATACAATTCCCATCTAATTTGCAACATGTCACCATCTTTGGCATGGGGAAGTTATCAAGAAACTGTCTTAAAAGATGCACTTCCTTAAACACTTCCAATTCAGGAGTCACTCACGCACACTACACATGCCAACTTCTTTATCACAACAATGTGAACGACATAAGAGTGACAATTACTCGTGTTTTGCAGCCACCAAGTTAAAAGCTAATTTAAAATTAAAATATGAAATAAAAATAAAGGGTTCTCGATCGAATAAATAAACTTATTAATTAGAAGCAGACCTTGTCTGGAAGAGCTGGAGGAGGTCGTAATGGAACTTCCAATTCTAAAGGGGGGCCAAGTGGCTTCTCTTTTGTTTTTATCTCAAAGTTTTCCTCCTCTGATTCATACTGATGATCTTCATCAGCAAGTATATCTTCTGGTCTCAGGTTCTTTCCGTAACTTCCTTCCTCCTCCACAGGATATCTCTGGGGTAGGAAACCAATAATACCATCAATTCTTAAAATTAGGGCAATTCACAGATAAAGGGAAAAATTCATTATTGACACCAATATCCACTATTGGCACCTTCACTAACATTTGAATCTTGTTCGATGTCCTGCTGAACAGCATACCCCATTTCCTCTTCTTCATCATCATCAAAATCACCAAATACATCACGAATTTCAGGGGCCGAATGCAAGTCACGAGTCTCATCTTCTTTTTCATCTCTGGGCGACACACTACATTTAAAAAAAAAAAAAGACAAACTATCAGTCTTAATGTCATGCAGCAGTTATAAAACACTCGGCAAGATTAGTTCTTTGACGTTTGATCTTTTAAGTTTATTTAATTATTTCTGTAAAACAAGTTCATCCATTCAGTTAGAAAATGTTAAATGTAGTTAGCAGAGAGGATGAACTTGTCAACCGGTACAAGGTTAGAGGATCAAATTAGGGGGTGCGCTAGAATCCAAAAATTGAAAAACTAAAATAATTAAGCCCAAAAAAGTCTTGGATCATCAGTAATTCCCTGTGTTCTATCCTATGCCCTAATCAATGACATGTTTCAATATGCATGACAACACTGATAAAGGAAAACATAAACCCGTCCACAAATACCAACATATTTCAGCCACATTTGTCCACATTTTTCCGTGCAACATTATACCTGGGGCTTCTAGCTTCGTCGACTTCTTCCTCCTCATCGTCGTGCTGATCGTAATGATTCTCCTCCGACCTTTCAGATCCGCTCTCAACGACGTCATCGCGGCGCTTACTCGTGACGCCACGCTGGCTATAGCCGTCATCTTTGGCATCACTATCAGAATCTCTTCCCTCACTATCCTCTCTCTCTCCAACTTCCACCTCCTGCGAGCTCTGCTCCCTCTCGCCCTCGCTTTCGCGATCATGTTCTCCTTCTCCGTCTCCATCGCTCTCGATTTCCACCTCCCCCTGGCCCTCCACCTCGCCCTCTCCCTCTTGCTCTCCCATTCCCTCTCCCTCGTCCTGAAAAAAAACAAAACGCCAAAACATGGAAAAACGGTTAGGGTAGGGATCCAAACGCGTTGCAAGGAGAAGGAGTGTGAAATTGGGGCGTACGGAGGGGTAATTGAGTTGGGGGTTCGATTCGTGCTCGGAATCGACGTCGAGCTCTTCCTCCTCCTCGGATTGGTCGCCGAAGAGGTTCTGCATCATTTGGTGGCGCTTCTCCTCACCTCCCATGGCTTCCGAGAGAACAAACCCTAGCGCGAGTGATTTTCGATCGAACCCCTTCAACTGGAAACTTGCGTTTGTTTGTTCTTGTGCTTTGCTCGTGAAACGCACCGTATCAGTCGAGTTTATTGGCAATGACTGGTCTCATCCCAAAAACTAGCTCCTACTACATTATTTTGAACACTGAATTTTGTTTTTATTATAATAAGTAAATTAATAAGTTAAAAATAAATATTATATTTATAACTATATATAGTATATGAAGATATACACTTTTTTATGAATGTGTATATATCTTAAAGCATAATGTATTGACAAGTGTATGTATGTTTTTTTATTCATCAGACGTTTTTTCTTAAAAACACGTCATTTTATTTTAGTTTATCTCTCTTTAAGTCAACACTTTTGTAATACGGATGTTGCCTAGATCTTTTAAGCTCGTTGTTTTACCATGTATTTTTGTAAATATTTTTCATATAGATAAGATGATTTTCACTTGTAATAATATTTGTTAAATCTCCTGTGATGTGACTTATCATATTAGCATTTAAACACTTTTTAGCACAACTTTTTTAGGCTTTATGTTACTGGTTAAACAGACATCTAGATAATTCTATGTTGTTTGTTACCCAATATTCATACGCGCTCTCTCATGATCACTCAAGGATGTGTTTATGTTTTCTGTGCAATATACTTGTGTTCTTATTTTTCTTAGACGCTTATCTACCCAATATTATTTTGTTTAATGTTATTTGTTAAACTTCAAAATCATAAATGTTTTAAATGATCTAGTTTCTCTATACGACATTGTCTCAACATCTTTCATTATGTCAAGAAAGAATACCAACTCAGTTATTTGAATAGGTCATTGGTTTCCTAAAACTCATTGTTGAAATTTTTGGTTTCTTGCGTGACATTGAATAGTGTTGGTAGTTTTTGTTTGTTGTCCATTTTGATATGCTAATGTTTTTCACATAATGTGGATTGAACAAAATGTTATTTTCTATGTAAGTGGATTACACTTATGTGTCCCCAAATTTTAAATTGTTTATATGTCAGTTGTCAATTTTGGTATCAGTCTCTCATACCTTTTAAGCTTTTTAAATGTGTTAGCGGTCCACATGCTGCTAATGTATGTTTTAATTTTACGGGGTTGCATACAATATTGTTTTGGGATGTCTAATGAGAAATATGAAGTTGTGGTCCGCTACAATTGAATCTTTGAAAATGATGTATCATTTAAATACATTCACAGAGAAACAAGTTATTGATCATGTGATTCCGTTAAATGAGGTTACTTTGAAGTCATAAGTTCACTTAAGGAATTTGAATACATTGAAGTTAGATAGTTATTTTATTTTATTGAAAATATGCTGCATCAGTTGTATGATGACAAATGTGCTATTAATATGGTTAAGGTGGCCAAGTATTATGACAGAGTTCACTTGTTTATGGTTGATGGATGAGTTGAATTGTAGAGAATGAATCAAATGAAGTTATTGACCTATGTTATGGACCTTTAGAGAGTGGAGATAATAGTCATGTTAAGGACTTTGTAGAAGTTGACAAAGACGACAATGAAAATGATCATCAAAATAAAAAGTCTCTGATACAAATTATGAAGTGAAAGGTAAAGATGATAAAGTGGAGGTTCAGGATAAGAATGAAGTGAAAGTGAAAGTTACACGTGACGATAAAATAAGATATAATATTTTAAAGTTGTTATACACCTTAATAGTTTTTATAGAGACCAAATTTGATTTAGACTTATAATAAGAGTTTAATTTCATATTCTGTAATGCTAAAACTGAAAGGATCATGTAACGTTATATCCAATTACATTAGGATATAAATTGGTAAAATATCAATTTAGTAAATATTTGTGAAAAGTTATAAAGGAGGAACGAAAAATTGAATAATAAAAGAAAATTTTAAAAAACGATTGATGAAAGAAAATAAAACATTAAAAAATATTAATAGTAAAAAAAAAAGATAAATACACTGAAACGAAGAATGACAAGCATCAATGGTCATGGTGATCAAATTTTTACCTTTGAATAGAATAAAAATAGAATTTTAATTACATCACCAAGACTATTTTATGGAACATGCTTTAGTGATATATTCTTTTCAATATTGTACACACTTTTGAATCATTTACTAAATATTTTTTTTTAACATAGTTAGGCAACCGCTTAAACATTGAAATCACAATTGAGAGATAATATATAAATGATTTTGATATTACGTGAAATTAAGTCTAATTTGTTATAAAAAAAAGAAAGTTTGATTTCATCCATATATTATAGGTATGTAAAATATTTAATAACGTTTTATAATAAGCTATATAATATCAAACAGGAACATTATAGACTATTATCAGAACAATATATAGATATACTACAAATATGCATAAAAAGCATATGATAAACACATTAATTCTTTTTTTCATGTAACGTTTGCCTCAATTTTCTCTCTCTTCAAAGCAATTATCTCTCCTGTATGAGATAGAAACTAATATAAAATATAAAAAAATTATGTTTTAAATTTTTTTATTTTTTACTTATTTTTTTTCATATTCCAATATTATACTAAACCCAAAACATTGTAAAGACACTTTCAAATATATATATATATATATATATATATATATCTTTAAAAGTTTTATCTTGTTATGAAAAAATTCTTCTCTATATTCAACAACCAAACTTATTAAATATGACTAATTTAAAAATTTCAAACTATCATAACTTTTGTCTGAAAAATGTCTGTTTAGTTTAACTGCAAGATTGTAAAATATTATTATAATTAGGAAAAATAAATAAATAAAGTTAAATAAATATTTTAAATAAAAAGATAAAAAATTTAATACTTATTTAAAAAGATATTATTAGGTATGTTGAGATATTTTTATATATTGTTATAAGATGTTATCAAATATTACTATATATTATTAGATATTTTTAAATATTATTAGATGTTTTTAAATAATAATTAATTATTTTGAAAAGGATTTGTTATAAGATATATAATTTTTTATCAATTTAAAATTTTATTTTATCAAATAAATTTTGCAAGACTAAAATAACTTTTGTCTGAAAAATGTTAATCTAGTTTCAACTGTAAGATTGTAAAACATTATTATAATTAGGAAAAACAAATAAATAAAGCCAAATAAATATTTTAAATAAAAGATAAAAAGGTTTAATAATTATCTAAAAATATATTATTAAGTATTATGAGATATTTTTATATATTGATAGATATTATAAGATGTTATTAAATATTATTATATATTATAATATATTTTTAGATATTATTACATATTTTAAATAATAATTAATTATTTGAAAAAGATTTATTATAAAATATATAATATTTTATTAATTTAAAATTTTATTTTATCAAATAAATTTGACAAGACTATAATAACTTTAGTCTGACAAATGTTCTTTTAGTTTTAACTGTAAGATCGTAAAATATTATTATAATTAGGAAAAATAAACAAATAAAGTTAAATAAATATTTTAAATAAAACATAAAACATTTAAAAATTATTGAAAAATATATTATTAGGTATTATGAAATATTTTATATATTGTAAGATATTATAAGATTTATTAAACGTTATTATATATTATAATATATTTTTAAAATTATTAGATATTTTTAAATAATAATTAATTATTTGAGAAATATTTATTATAAGATATATAATGTTTTATTAATAAATTTTATAAGAGGTAAAATAGTTATAGAAAATGTACAACTGAAATATATTTCATGAATATAATAATATATCTAAATTATTTCTTTAACTATTTTTGACCCATTTATTTTCGTAAGAATTTAACATGGTGAACTTTAATTTTTATTTGACTTTTAAATAAAGTAAGGTGATTTAGAAAAAAAATCTAAATTAACTCATTTTTAAAATTTTGTATTACATATATAATAAGGAAATTTAAATTTAAAGTGGAATATACAAAAAGGTGGTCATTGATTAATGGAACACGTGGGAATTGGTAATTGGTGGAGAGCGCGGGTGCAAAAGAATAAAATGAGAACGACCATGTTATATCATTGTCTATTTGGGGCATCTGGAAAAAGAGGGTTTGGCAGATAAACGCATACAAACATCTCAGTCTTTGTCTCTCTCTCTCTCTCTCTTTCTCTGTGTACAGGAAGAAGGGTGAGAACGAAACGAAGAAGAAGAATCACAGAACCGAAACCCACTCAGAAGCTAATCCGAAAACCTTTCATTTGTTAGCACTGGTACGCTATCCAAAATCCCTCCTTTTTCAATTTCCATCATAAATATGCCTCTTTTTCTTCGCCCCACTTCTTCTTTCGATCCAATTTTAACCCTTCCCAAATCGTCATTTTCGGCCCCTAATCTACCAAGAAACCATCTTTCCCTTTGGTATGTCACATTTTTCTGCTCTGTACTCCTCTTCATCTCCTCTCCTACTCACATAGGAGGGTTTAACCCTAACCTAACCTTGCAGGGTTTTCTATCTCACCGAGATTTGAGTGTCTGCTTCTTTGTCTTGTTTAATTTTAATAACGGGTTCAATTTGTCGCTATTGTTCTGTTCCAGCATTGGACAAACAAGATTTTGTATAGTCTGCATACAGATTTCAACGAAAGTATTTGAACTTCCCGATTGTCCATTCTCATAGTGTAGAACTAGAACTGAAATAGGTCAAGAGCCTAATGAACAATTAGACCTGAATTTTCTCCCAGTTAGGAGGGAAAGGAAATGAAGGGGAAGTTCTCAGTACTCGCCCTTGATTGTGTCATTGATTTACAAGAGGAATGGATAGAGCTGGCCAGTGGGAACCTATGTCACTCAGATCCCCAAGGACCAGGTCTACTATGACCTTCTGCTGGACAACGCCCATATCCACATCTACGCATGCAGGAAAACTTGCTGTTGCCCCTTGTTGTTAATTGCAATCACCAGTGAGTAGGAGGGCT